CTGCCATCTTTCAATACCCCTAGTGGGTTCAAAGTGACCATGTTTAAGTAGAAGCTATTTTCATTCTCTCCCAAGAAAGCCCTGCTGTCTCCAGTCTGCTAAAGGACACCAGATACCCCAGCCAGGAGGGCCTACCACATGGCCCCGGCCCTGGCCCGGTTGTCTTTCCGGCTCCAGTGTCTCCGACTGTAAAATGGCAAAAGTTACCTCCTTCATAGGTGAGGTGCCACCCTTGACATCAAGTGCAGGCCTCGACATAGTTGGCATTTCAGAGCCTTGGCAGAAGTTGGACAAATTGGTGGGAGGTGATGCTGCCAGCTGGAGCTGTTGTGCTGTATGTGAGGGAGAAGAGGTAATAAGGGCAAAGGCTTTATTGACCAAGCAGGTACTAGCAAAGCCCAAAGCTGGGCCACTCCACACAGCTACAAGGCAAGGATGGTGACAGGTTAGACCCAAGACCAGAGACCACCTGAGCAGAGGGAGGAGATCCAGTTGGAACTTTTGCCTGAGGCAGGAAAGGTGCTAGATTTGGCCAGGTGCTGCCCAGACAGCCAGCTACCCACATCACCAAGAGGGGACACATATGACTGTTTCCTCATGCCAGTGATGTCAGAGCCCCAAGTGGGGTGCACTCTTCCTGATTCTGAGGACAGCAATGTCCCTGAGTAAGTAGCACACTGTCTCAAAGGGCCACAGGCATTCAGATTGGAGGCATTTAGGCCTCCACCAGAACTGGGAGAAATAGGAAGGAGTCAGGGCGAGGAAGACCTAGAAAGCTGGGGGCTGCTACCCAGAGAAGGAATAGGTCCCCAAAGCAAATGTCATGGGGCTCCAAAGTCCTGCCTCAGCCATGGTTTTGTGTGAGAGAAGCTGGGATGATCAGGGTAGTCTGGGGGCTCTGAAGTAGTCAGAGAGCAGCTAGGGATGTCTCAATTTCCTCCACACCACAAGCCCCCTCCAAGACAGACCTGGCAGCAGCACTTGGTTTTCCCAGGACACCTGCTCTGAGCCCAGACACACTCATCTGTAGTGACAGGTGGGCATAATTCTTCCCAGAGGGAAACTGAGGTACAGACGTTCAACAGCTTTCCCATCAGGTGGCAGTGGCTATGGGAGCAGGAGCCAGCGCTCCTGTGCCCACATGCCTCATCTGACCGCTGGCCAAATCATCATACCTAGAATGATTCAAATGGCTCCTGAAGAAATGATCCCCTAGGTCAAATGCCAAAGGGATAAGATAAGGGGATGAAGGGAAAAGAATCTCCCCAAACCAGAAAATAATAATAATAAACAATCTCTGAAGACTCTAAAGTTATTTTCCCAGAAGCTTTTTTTTTAAAAGCCCCATATAGTCTAGCCTTCATGATGAATTAGAGATGTAGAATTTCATATTTATGAATACCTCCTGGCCCAAAGAATCTTCAGCATCTTAAAAAGTCTCTAATCTTTCCAACAAGGCTAGAATTCTCTGTGACACCTCCCTCCCCCAGTGGTCATTAAGAATCTGCTCAGACCCTTCTAGAAAGTGGGCACTTACTACCCCTCTTTATCATCTCTGCACCGCTTACTTGTAGGGGAGGGAGGCAAGAAAAATAGAAAAAGGAAGGGGGGCAGAAAACACGAGAAAACAATCGGTTGCTGGGTCCGCCACCACTGCTTGATTGGAGCCCTGTTTCTCCTCTGAGGCAACCAGAGAATATTTCAAGCCAGTGATTACAAGACAAGGAATCTAATCCATGTCCTCTTCAAGAGCCCAGCACCTTCAGTATCAAGCAATTTTCATGTCCTAAGAAAAATGTCGGGAGGGGGGTGGCTGTCCATCCTTTCCTGTTCCTATCCAGCCTTTCTTCTTTCTTTATGCTACCAAGTACCCGAATGTGCATAAGAAAAAAAAAAAAACAGCAGCAACAACAGAAAGAAACAGAAAGAGGAGGAAAAAAAGAAAAAGGAAAAAAGAGAGAGAGAGTGCAAGAGAAAAGTATCTCTGTTCTGATATCAGTTCCTGGGGAAGACCATTTTACCACGTCTCCCCCTTCAGGCTGTGAGCTCCCCTAGGCAGGACCCTGTTTCCATTCAGATCTGTTGCCTCCCATCGCCGCCTCCCCCTCCACCAGCCCCGACCCCCGGCCTGGGTCTGTGCTCCATAGGCGCTCAGTAAGTGTTGTTGTATCCGTCTGAAGAGGCAACCGCATCTCGATCGGAATCCTTGCCCCTGCTTCCCCGATTTTGTCTCCCCTCTGCCACCCAGCCCATTCGAAGGCAAAACGTGGCAGCACAGAAACGTCCCAGCTCTCTCTCCAAGCCTCGAGCCGACCACTGCGAAACAGCTGCGAGAGACGGCTGGGCAACCCAGAGCAACAAGTGCCTCCTCTCCTGCGGGTGCCTCGCGGGCCCGGGCCACCAGTTCCCGGTCCCGCAGCCCGCCCTCCTTCACAGACCGTCCCGTGGGCCGGCAGCCCCCTACCGCCTAGATGAGGGTGGGAAAGGGAGAGGAAGAAGAGAGAAGGGAGAGGCAGGTAGGGGGGTCGCGTCTTTGACCTGTTGGGGGACCAAAAGTTAAAATGGCACCAACCGGATGGCTCCATCTCGATTGCTATTTTCTCACTCAGGAGAAATTTAAAAATCCAAACAGTACTGCGGCTTGGCTTGGATGCGCTCTAACCAGACCAGTCAGTTTCGCCACCTGAAAACTAAAGGCCCGTTGTTTGCGGACAGCTCGGCCGCCCTCCTCGCCACATCCCAGGTGGAGCCGCCGGAGCTGGGGGCGGCCGGGAGCATCCCTGCACGGTGGACCGCGAGCACCCAGGCCGCCAGGGCCCCGAGCGTCCGATCCCGCGAGTGCCGTATCAGGAACCGATCGTGGAGACAGGATAGACAGGCGGGGAGGGGCCCGGGGTCTCGGCGTCCCCGGCGAGTTTGGGGCCCCGCGGTGCTACCGCGCGCGGGGGCGCACTCCGGCGCCGGCTGCGGCCACTCCCGCGCCTCACCAACACTTACTGAGCGCCCGCAGAGCACCCGACGCGGCCGCGGGCTGAGCCTACCCCCTAGCCAAGTCGCCTGTGGTCAGTGCTATCACTCCGCTACGAGAAGAGTGAGAGGCTCGGAGAGGTTCGGTAACTTGCCCAAGGTCACAGCGCTAGAAAGTGGCGGAGCCGGGATTCGCAGCCAGGTCTGTCTGCCTCCAAGTCCGGCGCTTGGCGAGGCAGGGACTCCGTGCGCGGCCCGGCCCCGCCGCCGGCGTTTATAGGCAGAGGGGTGTGTGCGTGTGTGTGCGTGTGTGGGGGGGGGCGTGAGTGTGGGGGAGAGCAGAGGTCGACCAGGCAGTAGAGGCAAGTTGCCCAAATTCTCTAACTTCCATCCCTCAATTCCGCTGAACTCGGTCCGAAAAGCCCCTCTCGCCTTCAGACCCCGAAGGAAACCTGAGCTTTGTGCAGCCCCAGAGCCGGAGCGTCCACATGCGGTCCGGGCGATTAGCAAAGTCGGTGGAAGCCAAGCTGGAGAAAGCGCGGGCGCGGGGAGAAAAGGTGCTGCTGTCTCCCCAGGAGAAGCGGGCGCTCGGCCCGGCCGGCCGGCAGGCGGGCGCGCTGGCGAGCGAGCCGGTTCGCTGGCTGGCGGGCGGGCGGGCGGCGGCCCCTCCGCCCCCCCAGCAGAGCAGCTTTCAAACAGAAAACAAGTCCCCCAAAGACCCCCGGCCCGCCCGGCCCCCGCCCGCTCCCTGCGCCCGCTCCGCTGGAGTCCCCGGCCCAGCCGCCCAGCCCACCGCCCTACCGGGCGGCCCGGCTTACCTCCGCGAAGCCGCCTGCCCTGGAGAGAGGGAAGCGCGGAGCCTGGTGAGCCGCGGGCGCAGCGGCGGAGCCCCCAGCCCCTGGCACGCACGCCGCCACCGCCGCCGCGAGCCGGTCGCGCTCAGTGCCACCCGACCCCGGGGCGCCTGGGAAAAGCCCGCACCACCGCGCCGCCGCCGCACCTCACCGTGCCGCGCCAAGCAGCCCCGGCCCGCGCCCGTGCCCGCCCGCCCGCCCGCAGCTTCGGCGCCTGACTCCGGGGCGGTGGCGGTGGCGGTGGCGGTAGCAGCCACCGCGCTCCCTTCCTGGCGCGGGGGAACCGGGTCTCAAGCCCCCATTGCCGCCCGGAGAGCCCTGACGCACACGCACACGGGAGCAGGCTGGCCTCGGCTAGGAATCCCAGGAAGGACAGACCCTTTTCCCCCTTTTTCTCTCCCCCCTCCCAATTTCCACGTCTTTATAACCGGCTTAGGGCATTATTAGCACATGTCCTGGCTCGTGGGCGAGTTGGTGGCAAAATCTGAACTGGATACTCACCGAGGGCCAGAGCGGGTGCTGCGCCTTCCTCAGCCCTCTTCCTCCTCGCCAGGAACGACCCTTCTCCGGCGGGCTGTGGGCGGGCAGCCGGGCGGAGCGAGCCTCTTCTCGGCAGCTCAGCGGTGCCCCTTCTGCAGCTGTGCCGCTGGGAACATTTTATAGCGGCGGCTGGCGTGTGTGGCCCTTTAAAGGCGCTCGAGCTGGTGCAGTCACCGCGGATCGTGTGAAAGCGAAGGGCCGGCTGGGGAACGGAGTCCGAGCGGCTCCGCGGGTCCGGCGGCGCCGGGGACCGGCCACGGCTCCCGGGGTGCGGCTGGCGGGCCCAGGCCGTGGTCGCCCCGAGCCCCGAGCCCCCGGCCGACGCCTGCGCTTCTAAAGCGGGCGGGAGCCCGGGCCCCGGGCACAGTCTCTCCCCACCGCCCTGCATGGACTTGCCCAATAAATTCCACTTAGTAATTTCGCTGAGGCGAGGGAGAGCTGTTAGTGTCTGTTTTCTGACCTAAATCTAGAGGGTGGTCAGAGCGGGCTTCAGGGGGTTGGGGGGAGAGCTATGGGCTCAGGAAATGACCTGGGGGAGGAGGACGAACAAGGGACGGGGTCCAAGGGGCACGATTTGGGTTTTCTGCAGGGCTTTCTCGGAGTCTGTCTGCTCCCTTTGGGCTGCACCATCTCCCTGGTTGAAGGGCCGAGGCTGGGGGTCCCTTTCCCCTTAAAGTCGCCAGATTCCAGGCAGAGCTTCTTGGAGGGCCTATCCGTCCCGCAGCGGTGGCTTCCTTCGAAGACCTGAGCTGGGATTGGGTTCAAGGGATTCTCTCTTGTGGTTATCCAGGGCTGAAGGAGACTGGCGGGTTGCGACGTGGAGATAAGTCACGGATCGTGGGGCCAGGTGCAGCTCACGAGGCACAGCCGAAAGGCCAAGAGCAGGCAGCAGGGTATGAAGAGCTTGCCCCGGGGCTCGCGGGGACTCCTCCTGCGTTCCCAGTATGCCAGGTTATTTTATTATCATTATATAATCATTCCAGGTAATAAGAATAACATTTTGCATTAGGAGCACATCTTTCTCGGATGTTATCTTACAAATCTCTTCGGAAAAGAGGTCCGGGTCTTCTCCTTCATTTCAGTCATGCTCCTCCTGGCCAACAAGCTCCCATCTCGCCTCTTACAGGAAGGCCACCAGGACTACCCTTCTACCAAACTCTCTTTTCTTGGCCCCTTTCAGCAATAACTACTCAGTTTACAGTGTTTATAAAACATGCTCTTTTTTAAAAGTCCTGATGTTAAGAAAAAAGGGGGGAGGGAATGTCATGAAGTCATTTTCACTGTGTATGTGTTCTGTCTTCTTAATTGGATTTGAAGACCTAAAGGTCTTTTCCTTTTCTTCTTTCTTTCCCACTTTTTCTCTTCTTTTCTTTCTTTCTTATTCTTTTTCTTTAGTACCCCAAAGTGCCCTGCATTTGCTCTTTGAACAAAGTTCTGTTTGTTGATGGACTGACCGGCTTACTGACGTAAAGATGAGGAGCAAACAGAGGGACAGATCAAGGCCCTTCCTCGACGCCTGGAGGAAGCTGGGGCCAGTGCTCTGGACGCCAGGTAAACCCATTCCCCAGCCCCCAAAGCTATCTTGCCTGTCTCCCTTCCTTCCCCTCACCCTGCCTCAACACAAACCCCAGTAACAATCACATCCCACACACCATCCTTGCACTTTCTCACTTTGCACAAAGATTGTAGGTCGTGCCCAGTTTCCTTCTGATAAAAGGCGGGATCTATCGGGACCCTAAAACCCTACAAAGTTTGCTTGTGAAATACACCCTCAAGCCATCTTGGTGTTTGCCTGACGTGAGCGACCCCGGGCTTTCGAATTGTGTTTTGCTAATTTGGACCTCCGACCTACCCTCCCCCTCAGCCCCCGCTCGGGAGAGGGTCTGGAAACCGCGACAGCGTCTCTGCGGAAGGCTCCGGATCCGGGAGGTGGCGGATCCGCCCTCCATCTATTGGATGGCTCCCAGGCCAATTGTTAGAAAGAGGCATATGTTCATCTCGGCTTCTGGAGTGTCTCCGGAGCAGTTGCTCAACAGCCAGCCCCCTCCCCCATCCGGACCATTGAAGGGCAGAAAAAGGAGCGCCCTCCGCCACATTTCTCTTTGCCCACATGCCAGAAAGGGTCTCCCCACTGGTAACTTCCTGTCATCTCCACTGTCCGCCTCCTTGGGAGCAGGAAAGAGAGGGGCTACGAGCACTCAGCTTTGGAGCACAAAAGCCACCCTTTTCCTTTGGGGGGCAGATGGAAGGGGAGGTTAGTCTCAGAGGCAGGGAGAGAGCAAAGGAGACATTTGCATTTCTCTGCAAATATGCCCTGGATCACTGACTTCCCAGTCGGTTCCAGCAGAGCTCAGAGCTCTCCGCTGAACTCTTATCTCTAACTTGGCAACTAGACTGCGAGCTCGCAAACGAAGGAGAGGACAGGGATGATCACCCAGCAAGAACCTTCTGTGCTCCAGCATTGGACCTGGCATGTTCCCAACCATCATCTCACTTAATTCCCACGCCCTGTGAGGTAGGGTTTACCAAAGGTGAAAAGGAGTCCCAGAGATTGTTCAAGTTCACACAGCCAGGAGGTCCGGTGTTTGAATCCAGGTTAGGCTGACTGTAGAGTCCTCACCCTCACCCCTGCACCTTGCTGCCTGGGAGGGTAAGGGGGCATCTAAACTGTGGTCAAGAGTACAGGTTCAGGGGTCAGTCCTCCTGGGTTTAAATCCCTACTCTGCCATTTACTAGCTCTGTGATCTTAAGCCAAATGGCTTCATTCTTCAGGCCTCAGTTTTCCCATCTGTTAAATGGGGATTATAATGGGAGCAACTCCGTGGGCTTGTTGCAAGGATCAAAGGAAAAGCTTGGGTTGATGCCTGCTGTGTAGTAAGTGGTCCACAAATGCTGTGCCTTCTGATTCTTTTCCTTTTGCCTCCTAGTCCTGCCTCAGCTTACACACTTCAGGTTCAATAATACTTGCTGACTGATTAATTTAAAAACCAGGCTGTGAGGGGATGAAGCAGGTCTATAAACTCAAGAAGGGGAGAAAGAGGAAAATGCAGGTTTGTTCTCAAAATCCCACCTTCCAGAACCAAGGGCTGTCTGAGCCTTATGATGGGAGCAAATTAGGGAGCAAAAAAAGACCATGACTTTTTACAGGACAGCCCGTATGCATACAGAGTGGTCTCTAGAAACATATACAATAAGTGTGTAGAAAAGTTAAAAAGCACACATTGCCACGTGGCTTGCAGGATCTCAGTTCAAACCCCGACCAGGGATCAAACCCTGGACAACAGCAGTGAAAGGCTGGAGTCCTAACCACTAGGCCACCAGGGATCTCCCATAAAAGCACAGGTCTTTGTTTAAGAATGTTTGGAGCAGAATTGTTTGTAATAGTGAAAAATGGAAAGCAATTTAAATGTCCATGGTGAAGGAGCGGCCCTTGGTACCTTGATACTAAAAAACATTGTTTTTAAATCCTGATTTCAAAAACTCTTTTATTCATGGGAAAATGTTCACAACAAAATATTAACTAAAAAAAAGACACAGGGTACAAAGTTGCATAAATATGATGCCAAGTTGCAAAGGGCACAAGGAGCAGAAAATTAAGTACTCACTGTTTCCAACCATGTATGAATATGGGTAATGAAGCAATGGTCAGGAAAACAACAGTGTCAGGCGGGTGGTAGGATTGTGAGGCATTTTTTTTTCTCTTTTCTCTGTTATGCAATATGATTATATTATTCTTATAATTTACTATAAGTTCATAGTTAATGGACTGCATAAACAGTATGCTTCTACTATTGTTAAAATTATTTGTGCATAGAAAAAATATTGAAAGAATATACACCAAAATAGGGACTTCCCTGGTGGTCCAGTGGTTAAGACTCCGCACTTCCAATGCAGGGGGCATAGGTCTGATCCCTGGTTGGGGAACTAAGATCCCACATGCTGCGGGGTGTGGCCCACCCCCCAAAAAAAATATCTTAAGGAAAAAAAAACAAAACCTAGAAGAAAGCAAACAGAACACCAAAATGTTAACAGTGATTATAATTGAGTGGTGGGATTATGGATGATATTTTTCTTTTCCTTTATTTTTCTGCTGTAAGATTATATTATTTTCTTACAATTAAAACAGGTTCATAATTTGAAAAGTGCATAATCAGTACAATCCCACTGGTGTTAACAGTATGGCTGTAAATTGAAAAAAATGGGAAGGAAATGTATTAAAATATTAACAGTTTTTATATTAAGTGGTAAAGGATTATGATTTTTCTTTAATATGATTTTATTACTTTTATAGTTAAAATAAAATGAATACTTACAAATGGCATATAGAGTAGGATCCCACTTTGTTAAAAATGTATATATATGTGGGTGTGCATAGAATAAATAATAGACTACTCCAAAATGTGGTTGTCTCTGGGTGGTAGGGTTATGGGTGATTTTTGTTTTCTCTCTTTTTAAAAAACATTTTATTGGAGTATAGTTGATTTACAATGTTGTGTTAGTTTCAGCTGTACTGTTTTCTCTTTTATACAGGATTTCTTCATTTTCCAAATTTTTTACAGCTATCATGTATTATCTTTTAATTATGAAAAATGTAAAAAAGAATTCAATACTGAAGTATTTATGGGAAAAAAGGGCATGTCTGGGATTTGCTTTAAAATATTCCAGTGGGGATGGGAGAAAAGTAGATGGGGATATAGAAAAAAATGCGATGGTAATTGTTGAAGAGGGGTACATGGGCCTCCATTATAATGTTTACTTGTGATTATGTTTGAAAAGTTCCATAAATACTTTTTAAAAAGCATTTTCACATCCATTATCTTATGCCAACCCTGTGGGGTTGATTATCTCCATTTTGTAGAAAACCGGAGGTTTTCAAGAGGTGAAGTCACTTGCCCAACCCGTCACACAGTTGGGAAGTGAGACAGTAGGCTTGACTTGGGGCTCCTCACTCCAAGCCCAGGGCTCCCCACCGCATCCCAGTTGCTGCTTCTTTATAACAATTAAAAAAAATTAACATTTCGTCTGGCGATAAATGTCATAATTGTTCCCTGCACAGAAACTGGAAATAACAGAAAAGCACCAGGAGGAAAACATCATAACCCACCGGCATCATAGAAAGACCCTTTGGTGTCTGGTCATGCAGACTTTATCCCTGCTGTCTCTTACTCCAGAGGTAATGGGTGGGGCAAACATCGTAAATGCAGTAGGAGTGGTGAGTCATTCCTAATGGGCTAGTGAGTGAAGCTGCAGCTGTTTGGGGACCCCATCATGTGTGAGGGGCTCAGGAGATGGTGAGTCCTAGCCACCCCCTCCCATCCTTCCTTCGTGCCCCCTCCAGATACTGCAGTCTGGATCACAGTTCTTTCCTGTATTCTTCCTTCTCCTGTAGGATCTCAAGGACTACAAGTCCATTTGGGAAGTCAGGGTGGCCTCTCTCCCCTTATTTCATCTGGAGACCCTGCCCAGAAGCCCCCTTGGGATCCTGCAAGTCTGCAACCACACCGAGTGCGGTTGTGCCTCCATTTCCCCATCTGGAAGATGCTAGTGAGAATAGCAGACCGGTTAGCCTCTGCCAGGGAGTGATGAGCTAACGTCTGTAGCGCTTTCCAGCCCCTCGGAGCAAGGTGCCGGAGCCTCCCCAGCGCCTCGCCTGCCGCTGCCAGCCTGAGTGAGCGCCTGGGCCTGGCTGCCCCGCGCCGAGGGAGCGGTCGCATTCCTCTGCCCCAGGCCAGCGGGCTTGGACCCGCACTCGCTTCTGCTCCTGTGTTAAAAGAAAAAAAAAGGAGGAGAATTGAAGAGAGGATGAAGAAGAAGAGGGGAACAGGGAACAAGATTAGTCCTGGGGAAAGGGCCTTGAGAAACAGAAAACTGAGAAGAGAGCAGGGAGATAACAGGGCATCCTTGGGCACTCCAGTCAGCTTCAGCGATTGTAGCCTTGGTTTCCTGTTTACACAGGGGGGTGGGGGAAGTTTGGAAAGGGCCAACAACTGGGGCCAGTCGAATTGATTCCCTACTTGATTTCCTGTTATTTATACATAATGGGAAAACCTCAAAAATATGCAAACAGCTTCGGCCACCCAGCCTCTCACATCCTTCATGGCTCCGCCCACTTCAGGCTTTGGGGATGTCATTCCAGTATATGCCCCTTCTCTGTGCTCCCTCCTGGCATTTAACTTCACAAGAGGCCTAGGAAGTCAGCACTATCACCCCATTTTAGAGAGAAAGGCGCTGAGCCCAGAGAGGTGAAATAACAGGCCCAAGATTGCAAAACTAGTAAGCAGCAGGGCTGAGACGCACAACAGAGTGGGACCCACCCCTAAGGCCAAACTCTCCCTCTAGGCTCCCTGCTCCTCTGTTATCGGTGTCTATGCTCTTCTTGCTTCTAGAACGGATGCTCGGCCTCTCCCACTGCAGTTGGTGGTCAATGTGTGTGGGGCAGAAGGTATTCGTGGCCCAGCTTGAGGGAGAGACCCTTGAGGGGGGAGCCCAGTTAGGGTCTGCGGCAGGAGTCTCCAGGGATGAGGTGCGGGTTGGGAGAGGGCTGCAGCCCGAGGATGGCAAAGACGACTCTGAAAAATATTATCTAGGGAAAAGCACAAGGTTCAAAGGCAGGGAGGGAGAAAGGTGCTGATGTCGGGGAGAAAGAGACACAGCTGGGCCAGCCAGGCCCTGGGCTGTTTGGGTGATAGCAGTGAAGCTGGAGGCCTTGGGAAGGTGTGAGGTTTTTGTGGGGGAAGAGAAACTCTGCTTTAAGCATGTTTAGTTTAAGCTGTTGGCAGAACATCCAAGTGGAAATAGCTTGCACACAGCCAGGAATATAGGACTGGAAAGAAAGTGTGAGGTTGTGTCAGAAAGAGCAATTGGCAGGATGACTTTCGGCCAAACTGGGGGGAACGTTCCCCTGCGTCTCTCCGCAAGCACAGAG